ACACTATGTTTGCTTGCGTCAGTGCAAATAGAGGTACTGAAGTTGTCAAATGGATTAGGCAGCTCTGATTATCTAAAGAAATTATTTGGCCTACTGCTTTAAAAATATTCTGAATCCAATCTGTCTGCAAAAGAACTCTTCCACTTCTATCTGTGGAAAAAAGAATTACAAAAACTCCATGTACGGAATGTATTTGGGTCAAGATAAAAATGGTTGAATATTAGCATTGAAATGGGATTTCTTTTTCCAAATCAATTAACTAGCAGGGAGTGAAAAAGGATGTTTCTTCTATGGTATGTAGATGTACACTTTCACATGGAATATATCACATATACAAGCTTATATTTGAATGCATAATCTTACAGTGACTTCTCTGTCCCTACTGCACTGTCTTCTCTCAATTTCTCATCCTCTTTTCCCATGCAATCTGACTAGTCTGGTTGTATGAAGCATCCATTCACTCCTTCACCTGAAATCCAACCAAAATACCATAAAAACAGTATGCAAGCTTTTCGTTTATCTAGGGTTTTTCATCAGCTGAGATAAACCAAGCAGGTTGAGTCTGTTCATTCTTTCATGACTTTTTTTGTTTGTCCGAATGAATAGTGCCAGAATGTAGACTTTGCTTGAAGGTTGGTGACAATTCCCTTTCCTTTGTAAATTTCACATTAAATCGATAGATTTCTACCCATGTTGTTAGGAAGGTGTCCTATGGAACTCAACAACAGTTATTTCCAAAAAGGTGTGTACCAAACTGACCTTCCCATAAGATACCTTATACAGCAGAGGTATTTAGAGGGATGTAAAAGGTTGGAAGATTACATCAACACAGCACTCTTCCTGCCTCAAGAGCCAGCAGAAACCACTCTGCCCCAGGGTTTGCTGTTTTTACTCTGCAACCAGAAGGTTCTGTGCTGTGTTCTTCTCTGCACAGCTTGAATGCACAACACTCAAACCGAGATGTTCTCTCAGCTGAAGTTCCAGCCCTGTCAAACAGTACCCACTATATGAAAATCCTCCTCAATCCTCTAATTGACATGCACAATCATTACTAACACACACACACACCCATTTGTTTTCTTTCCCATTATAATGCCAACTGATTTTTTAAAAAATATTTCAATTTATCAGCTGCTTGCCTATTTATTATATTGACCAAAGGATGGCAGCAAGCACTTGGGATTTTATATCTCTTGGCTGCTCTCTAGTGGTTGTCTGGATTTGGACATTCATTAGATAAGTACCACGGAATAAGTGGAGTTTCAGTAAAGGGGAGGCTCTGGGCATCCATGTAAGTAATGTAAATTACCCAAAGAACGTTATGGGAAAAGAAGAAATAAGGAACTGGGGATCCTGGTGGCAGTAGCTATTGGGAAGGACATTCCCAGCCAGGCAGGCTTTACAGGAACAAGAGATGAGTTATTTCTGTAACACTTCCAGTTATATGCATTAAGCCAAGGACATCCTAGTCGATTTCAGGGCTTTACATTCTCTTGGGTAACCAGACAATCAACTCCTTTAAAAAGGGGAGAGAGGGCAAGTGGCTATGGTAGCCAGGGTTCTGATCTCCCTCACAGCTGAGGGATAGAAATACAGGTCAGAAACCAGATGGAAGAGATGGTCTCACAGGAAACTAGAAGAATCAATTGCCAACACACATCATGTCACTTCAGCACATTCTACAATGCCAGCACACAGCTTCTGAAGTGAGAGAGCACAGGAAAAAAAACCACTTCCCAAGAGGAGCACCCAAGACATTCCCAGGTTGCCTCAGCCATGGCTAGACAATGTCACACAGGTGACAGCATACAGAAATATTATCTGCAAACAGATAGTGGCCCTCTTCACCCAAGGACAAGGTTGCTGTGTAGATCTGCCCAAAACATGGGAATTTGTGACATGGATTGTTTTGGATTTATCACTATGAAATATAATTGTGAGAACCTGTTATCTATACTATGATGCAATTTATAAGATGATCTTGGATAATATATGCAAAAACATCAATCCTGGTTAAACTGCAAACCACAAACCATATTCAGTATTTGCATATATGTAAAAAATCTGGGGTTCTTAATTGCTCCAAAGAGAGATATTTAGGTTGCAAAATATCTTACTTATTGTTTATATTTTGTTCCCGACTCTTATCCAAGCACTGATAATGTTACCTAGTTTGGATAATCTGCAAGAAAACAAGCAAGCTCAGAGAGCACCAAGGACCCCTCATTTCAACCCTGAGGTACAAATATTCCTTTTCATTCTTATCCCGTCTTTCTTCTAAGTCAGCGTTTCTCAAGAACATCAACTTTAAATTGCCTGGACCTCAACTTCCAGAATTCACCAGCTTAGCACTTTGCCAGGGAAATGCTGGAAGTTGATTTCAAACATCTTAAAATTGCTGAAGTTGAGAGCTTCACTCAGAACATTTGAGACCCATTCCTCCATTTTTTTTAACAGCAGCAGTCCTGTGAAGTAGGTTGAGTCAAAGGACACCAACTAGCGATCTAAAGTCACTTAGTAAGCTTCCATGACTGGAGTGGGGAGTGGCTAATATCCCAGTCTTTCCAGGCCTCAGCAACTTATGTTATACCAACTTCCAGCTATCCATCCATTCCTCCACCTCAAAACTGTGAGAAAGAGTTCAGTATTAGCTCTCCATGCAGAAAGACTCCATATGTTTTCCACAAGCCCTAGATCCATGTCAGTTAGTGAATTTGTAATACTTCCTGGAATTTTAAAGTGCTTTAAAGTTAATTTGTATAACAGTAGACTGCTGGTATTGCAAAAGCCACTTTTATTCAGCATACTGTAATAAAAAAAATGCCTTAATGCAAGTTTAATAGCTCAGGAGTTTTTATTCTTCCCCAAATACATCCTTATTTCATTATTTGTGAATAGGTCGTCTCTCACAGTTCATTACACAGCACAATCTAGGTAAAATATTCCCTTAAATTAAGTTTGTTGGAGCCACACAGGCAATCTTTCTTAACATATGAAACAGTTCAGAACCGGTTCGTGTAACTCAGAGCTCCTTCATCCCATTGGGGGCAACTTTCCAGATCTTTCCTGGCCTTGCTGGCTGAGATACAAGGATACAAGTAGGGCCTTCTTGAGACCGGGAGAATTCATTTTTAATTGAACATACAGGCTTTCCCTTTTTCACATGCAGCTGTTCCAGCAGAATATGTGCAACACTGAAAATAATGGGGCACTTAGACAAAGCAGGTCTTCAGGATCTAGCTCTTACCATGAAAACCTATCCCCAAAAGTTGATTGACAAAGTTGATCCCCAAAAGTTGGTAAGAGTAGCATAGCATAGCATAGCATAGCATAGCATAGCATAGCATAGCATAGCATAGCATAGCATAGCATAGCATAGAACCTTGGAGGTCTTCTAGTCTAACCATGTGCTCAAGCAGGAGAACCTATACCAGGGGTAGGCAACCTTGGCTCTTTTATGACTCGTGGACTTCAACTCCCAGAATTCCTGAGCCAGCCATGCTGGCTCAGGAATTCTGGGAGTTGAAGTCCACGAGTCATAAAAGAGCCAAGGTTGCCTACCCCTGACCTATACCATTTCAGACAAGTGACTGTCCAGTCTCTTCTTTAAAACCTCCAGTGATGAAGCGCCCACAATTTCTGAAAGCAAGCTGTTCCACTGGATAATTGTCCTCGCTGTTAGGAAGTTTCTCCTTAATTCCAAGTTGCTTCTCTCTTTGGTCCAACCATTGTTTCTTGTCCTGCCCTCTGGTGCTTTGGAGAACAGTTTGACGCCCTCTTCTTTGTGGCAACCCCTCAAATACTGGAATATCGCTATCATGTCTCCCCCTATTCCTTCTTTTCTTTAGACTAGCCAAACCCAAGTCCTGCAGCCCTTCTTCATATTTTTTTTTTTAGTCTCCAGGCCCTTGATCATTTTAGTTGCTCTTCTCTGAACTTTTTCCAAAGTCTCAACATCTTTTTTGTAGTACGGTGACCCAAATTTTCCCTATCCCCCACTAACTGCATGGCTATGACCTATAAGATGGGAGTAATTTGAGTAAGATTTTTTATCAATAAGAAGATATTCCCGGCTGGTTCCCCAAATTGCACTCGATGTGGTGGTTAGAAGGCGGAAGGGATGTAGAGTGGTAGGAGGAAGGAGGAGAAGTTGTGGGGTTGAGGAAAGAGGAAAAGTGGATGAGGGTGGAGGCAAGGCGGGGACTGCCGGGGGTATCTGGAAATATTTTGAGTAAGATTTTTTTGTTGTTGGTGGTGGTGTTTGTAGATGCATTATTTGTATTTGTTGTTTAATCAAAAATAATAAAAATTTATATATATATATATAAAAAAAGATGGGAGGCTAGCTTCACTTTTATTTGGAACGGGATAGTCACTCCTGGAAACTTTAATCAGTCACACCAAGTTGCACATCCAAAGGGGTTAATTAAGGCCCGGCTTCCGTTCGTACTTCTACAGGTGAGATTCTTCCCGAACCTACGAGCCCCGCCCCCTACCTGCCAGCTCCCCGAGACCACGCCCACGGGCTCGTCCTGGAACTTGCGCACGTGCGTGCAATCTCCTTGTTCTTATTTGTGAACCAGGAGAATGCGGCGGCGGCGGGGGGGGGGAGAGAGAGAGGGGGTCGATCACAACGAGCCTTCGAACCCGACCCCCTCCGCAAACAGAGCGATATCCGAGTTCGCCGCTAGCACGAGACGGGCTCCCCCCGACCTCGTTTCGTAGTGTTGTTGTTGTTGTTGTTGTTGTTGTTGTTGTTGTTTTTCCTCCCTCAAGTTCCCAAGCCGCTTCCCAAGCGGCCAACCCGCGCAAGCCACAAGGTTTGCCGAGGCAGATAAACTTCGAACTGGCGGCAAACAAGCCGCCGCCCCTCGCGCGCCACAGCTAACGCGCCGAGAAACTTGCCGCTCTCTTACTTCCAACTGAGCCTCCCCCCCCCCCGATCCTCCTCACCCGCCAACCCCACCCGTTCCTCGACGACCACGGCGGCCTCCCTTTACCTGCAGGAGACCGTGATCTCCACTTTGGTGGCAGGGATGCTGCCCGTGAGAGGGTCGAAGTCCTGCACCGACGCCATGTCCTCGAGTCTGTCCAGAACGTCCTCCTCCATGGGAGAGCAACGGGGAGAGAGAGGCGCCTCTCAACAAGTCGCCGAGCGCCGGCTAGCCGGAGAGGCCAATCCGCCACTGAGCCCTAATCGTAGCCCCGGCCCAGCGGGCGGGCGGGCGGCAGAGCAGGCGCGCTCTCCCTGGTTCCCTTGACGGTACGCGTTTCTTCGCTCAAGCGCCGTTGTGACCCACGCACCAGCCGGGCATAAAACGCTGGGCGCCGCGGCGGCGAGAAGCCGAGCTTGGAGAGCTAATTGGAGGTGGCGCGCGCTCTCTCGCCGCGCACGCCGCGATTGCCGAAGAAAAAAAAGGGGGCTTTCTTTCCCCAAGTCCACCGAGGGAGATTTCAGGGAAGCTCCACCTCCTTCGGACTCAAAACTCCGGGGCGCCTCAGCCCAGCGCTGCTCCTACGGCAAACAGGGGGAACCCCCCCACCACCCAGCCCGATCCCCCGCGGGAACCTCTCTCTGCGCCGGTGCCCGGGGGAGCGTCAGCCTCGGAGCCACGGGAGGGCTGGAAGGAGCCTTCGCAACCGCAGGGCAGCCGCTTAAGCGCGCGGGGATTTGGAGCCGCGCTTCTCCAGGGGCGGAGAGCGAAGGCTCTTTGTCTCCGTGCAGGTGCCGGTATCATGGCGTGCGTCTGGCTTAGGAGTTGCAACCTTCTCCAAACCGGGGGGGGGGGGGGCAGAGCCATAGTCCGAGGCAGCTGGAGGGCACCCGGCATTTCCCTGACATTTAAAAGTAGGCGAACTAGCTAAGTGTCATGTGTGAGGCGATTTGAAGGAGACCTTGAATCAGAGACTGGGCTGTGGCCAGGAATGAAAAGGGGAATGAGTGTGGTGATTGTGAGAAGGAATGCGTGCATTCCGTACATGTGTGTTCTTCAAGACAGCCACACACACACACTACTCGTACGCGAGCGGGCCTAAGCAGACCTGGACAAAGCACAAAGATTCATGTGTAGGACATCATCAGCTTTCTCACGTGTAAAAGCTTTGGGAAGTAATGAGGGTGGCAGAGATAAATCATAGACGAGGCCATTGGGAGAAGCTCAGGCCGTTGGTATGAAGAGCAGGAGGCACTTATGCTAAGCTCTACAATAGTCTAGAGTGGCTGTATGTGCCTCCAGGGTATGTGGATGTTTTGTTTTCCTTTTTCTTGTTAAACATCTTAAAACAAGTAATTATACTTTCCAACCGCCAGGCTACACTGTGCAAGAAAGGTAATAAACCGTCACAGAGCTATCCAGCACCATCCAGACTAAATGATTTGTCAGAAAGCAAGAAATAAATTTAATATGCAAGAGAAATATCAAGACCATACATCAGTTCAATATACATTTTTATGATGAATATGCATGTAGAAATTTGTTAAGAAGTATTTGCCCATTTTGGAGATGCCAAAACACACAGAGAGAGAGATGGCCAAGGCCAAGGGTGGAGTCCGGGATCTCAGCCACAAAATCTTGCAAAACCTTCAAATCAGTGTGCGAAGCTCAATCCCACTTCTGTTTTAGGAAAAACAGAATCAGAGCACTTCTTGATACAAAACCTCATCCTCTTCCTATCCCAGAAGCTTCTGTTTGCATGCTTGCCATTTATATTATTATCTTGTTCCCGGGCAACAAAAAAGAGTAATATTATTTGTTTATGAGACTTATATGGCTGTCTGTTTTATGGGCCATAACTCTGGGTGGCTCACAGCAGTGATAAGAACATAAAAAATAACAAATAATAAAAATAATAAAAACCAACTTTCCCCCTGACCAAGAAAAGCAAAACAACTTTTAAAGAAGTCTTTTCAACCCATTAAAAAAAAACACATTAGACACTTTGGGGGTGGGGGTTGTCACTCTCTAATACACATTCCTAATTTCTCCAGCTCACACTTATATACATGCTCATCCACATTCCAGCCATACATATAACCATTGGTATTGGGAAATCTGCCCCTTGTGGCTTCTGCTAGGCACAGCTAGGACCTACCAACTCAAAAGGATGGGGTTTTGTATCAAGAAGTGCTTTGATTTAGCGTGTGGAGAAAAATGTTCCGTTATTTTTCTTGCTCCAGATAAGCAAGTAGATATACTAGAAAAAAGCAACAGGATAAAGATTGAACATATTCAAATTCTCTGACTCCACCTTTCTATTTATTATATTAGGTCATATTTTTCATGTTTTGTTCACATTAGTCTAATGTAACCAAACAGCAGCCTGTGAAAAAAAATAAAGTTTGTGAGTGATATAAGCAATATTCATCTGTCCAACCCACAATCACAAAGAAAATGCCTTAAGCATATATTTGACCTAAATAGTTGAAAACACTTTCATGCAAGACAGGATTTTTTTATAAGGGGCTGGTTAGTAAAGGAGTGTATTTTCAACATTTTGCGGCTAAATTGTCATTATTTTTAAAAGATTATTTGAGAATTTGTTTAATTTTCCTTGCTTTGCTGTACATACTGCTTAGATTTTTTTAATATTGCTGAATAGCAGCACAGAAGTCAGAAACGCAAATGTGTAACTTTTTTCTATTAGAAATTATCTACCACATGTTTATATAATTCATATTTTGTTAAATTTCAGTATAAAATAAAACTAACACAGTTTTAGCAAACGAACTGGCTATTAAGGAATGTTGATTATACTGACAACAAAAATAACACCCACTGTCATGTCATCATGACTGTAATAATAAATTTTCATCCTTTTGCCAAAAATTTCAAGTGAGGGAAAAAATTAGCAAGGTTTCATCTATATCAAATATAATCCAAAAAAGAGTCCCGAAGGTGCTTTTTCAAAAGACAATTGGCTTTTTTTTTTTGTTTTTTCTTGAAGACGTTTCGTTTCTCATCCAAGAAGCTTCTTCAGTTTAACTGAACTGAACTGAAGAAGCTTCTTAGATGAGAAGTCTTCAATGAAAAACAAAGAAAGCCCAATTGCCTTTTAAAAAAGCACCTTTGGGACAACCATGACCTGGATGACCGAGGATCTCTATAGACATTCTCCCATTGTATAAATATGTCTCTCAGGAGCAGTGTTCCTTAGCTGAGGCAACTTGTTGTTTAAACATAATCCCAGAGCAAATGAATTAATTCACAACTTTTGAATAGAGCATTTGCCTCATTCAGTAGTATATGAATCAACTGGTGTAGTGAGAGATTGGACAGTTATCTTCTGTCCATCTAAGCTATTTTAGTATTTTTTCATTTCACATTTATGTCTCTTCAGTCATTTAACTCCAAGCAGCCTAAGCAAAGGAAATTTAAAAAGTTTCAAGATTATCAAATATACCAAATAATATTATCAACATATGTTCAATATCTTAATAATAGTACAATAAAAGTCCTCACATCTTTGGCTTCATCCCAAAGATGGTACATCTCTCATTCTCACATTGGTGTCTTCCTCCAGTTTTAAAACCACACTCTTCTTCCAGTCCAGCTTCCCTCAGTATATATTCTACATATAGGCTGAATAAATAAGAGTATCTTATCTCACTCCTTTGCTAACCTGGAGTCACTCTGTTTCACCATGTTCTACCTGTACTGCTTCTTACTGACTGCGTACAGGCTTTGCATGAAGATAATATGATATTCTAAAATTTCCATTTTTCTAAGTGCATTCCATAGCTAAATATGATTGACACAATCAAAGACATTTCTATAATCAGTGAAGCTCATACTGAATTCTTTTTGGTATTCTTTGGTGTTCTCAATTATTCAGTGTGCCTTCGAATTTGTTAGCATAGCTTGGTTAGAACGTGATTTCTTTCTCTTGCTTCTATAACTATTCCATCAATTCCTGTAGCCTTCTGACTTGGTGACGGCCAGAGTGCTAATCTAACTTCATTTTCTAGTACTAGGAGTACTTGTAAGTGAGATATACCTTCTTAGTTATCTTGGATTTGACATTTTTACTGTACAGAATTTCAGTATACTCCTCCCATGTTTACTTAATCTTCTTTGAATCAATTATAGTATTATCTGTCAATTGACATCCTTTATTATAACATTTCAAACAATTCAACGCTGAAACCTCTTTCTGAGTTCAGAGGTCTTTTGAAAGACTTTCCTTATTTTTCTAAATCTATTTCCATCTTTGATGTCTTATGGATGTTATTGTAGTATTGCTTCTTGTGTCTTCTAATGGTTCTCTGAAAATCTTGATTAAACGCTTTCCTGAGATCTTTGTCTTTCTTGGCTTTGGCTTCTCTTCTTGGCAATCTTAATCATTTTTTTCCGATATCAAGTTTGCTATCTTCTGTTTCTCCATTTTTGGCAGTCTCCTTTCACTTTCACAACTTCTTTAAATAAATTTCACACTTCCCCTGTTTCTCTATCAGTGAGGTTCAGTATTTCAAAACAATTTTTGATGTTCTCCTTGAAAGTGGTAGGTATTGTATATGCCCAAGATCATATTTTGGAAACTGGTTGGCTTCCTTTTTTCTTCTTTAGCTTAACTTAGAACCTGCATGTGAGCAGTTTGTGATCTGTTCCGGTCAACTTCCATCCCAAGAAACATATGTGGTGATTCTTTTGTGGCACACAATTTGCCACAAAAGGGCCAAATTGTCTTCACTCTCTTTCTCTCACAAATATCTAGATTGAGTTTCCTCTTATTCCTCTGGAATGCACTGCTTTCCTCCTGGAAATCCAGACTACTACATTCCATCACATTTCCACAGTCAGCACCTGTCTTTGATGCTGTAATTGGGCACCTCCAACTCATTTTTGCAATAATATAGTCACTTTGATTTCTATGTACTGAAGATGTCTATGCATACAGGCATTCTTCTTATTTGTTTGAAGACAATGTTAGCAATGAAGAATCATTGTGTTGACAGAAATTGATAAATTGTTCTCCTGCTTCATTTCTGTTTCCTGAGTCATATGATCCAATTACATTTGCCTTCTTAATATTTCTAACTTTGGCATTCCAGTTTCCATTGATAATCAGCACATCTTCTTTTTGTATTCTGTTAGTTTCAAACTGAACTTAATC